GTTGCGTCATACGCCAATGTCACTCAATCCACTATTTGCAAGTTTATGAACAAAAGAGATCATATGTCAGTATGGTTTACCAGAAATTATCATAACTGACAATGCTACAAACTTGAAAAACAAAATGATGAATGTTGCTTGTGAACAGTTCAACATAAAGCATCACAACTTTACTACTTACATACCAAATATGAATGGAGCAGTAGAAACAGCAAACAAAAACATTAAAAATAGTGGAGAAAATGACTGAGACTACACGGACTGGCACGAGAAATTGTCTTTTGCTTTGTTCGATTACCGAACCTCGGTATGAACCACGACTTGGGTAACTCCATTTTCACTAGATTATGGAATTGAAGCAGTGTTGCCCATTGAATTGGAGATTTCGTCACTCCGGGTCTTGACAGAACTTAAACTGGATGATGCAGAATGGGTGCAATCCCAATATGATCAGCTGAACCTGATAGATGAAAGGAGATTGAAAGCCATTCATCATGGTCAAATCTATCAGAAACGAATGATTCATGCCCATAACAAGAAGGTGCGCCCGAGAATATTCCGTGAAGAATATATGGTGTTAAAGAGAATTTCACCCATTAGAAAGATTTCAGAGGGAAATGGATGCCAAATTGGGAAGGACCTTATGTCGTAAAAAAGGTCTTTTCCGGAGGAGCTCTTGTCTTGGCTGAAATGGACGGACCTGAACTGCCAAATCCCGTCAATTCATATGCAGTCAAAAAATACTTCGCTTAGGATGAAAACCCGAGAGGGCGTCCTAGGTTGAAGAAGAAAAAGAAAAAGAAAAGAACAAAAAAGAGAAAAAATGTTTAGGGTGAAAACCCGAAAGGGCGCCCTAAATTAAAAAACAACAAAGAAAAAAAAGAGAAAAGAAAAAGAAAAATAAGGTGGGTTCAAGATGAAAACCCGCAAAGGGCATCATAAAACCAATGATGTGTCCAAGTTGAAAACGAAAGGGCGATTTAGATATTGATTCAAGAAATCTAGGCAATGGAAACATCCCAACATCTGAATCTCCTATATACTCAATGAGTCGGAGAAAGGTTGCACTCTCCATAACGTTGTCCATTTTCAAAGATTCCTTAACAAAGGTTGTGTTCAAGGTCACCTAACGGCTTTTCAACTCAGAAGTGCCCACATTATCGAGATCTAAGACATTCATTCACACTTCATCATGTATTCATTTTCCAAAATGTTTGTCATGTATTATTTGTTATTTTCCCTTATGAATAAAGACAATATTTTCTCTGAATCAATTCCTTTTGAGCATCTTGGATTGAACTTAAACCTAATGATTTTTTTACTTCTATAAAAGATAATTGCATATTACTGTACAAAGATTCTTTGAAAAGTATAGGTACTCGGAAAGACGATCAACGCTCATGCACACACTTGAGATGGTCGAGAAGCGTTTCCCAAATCAAGGATAAAAAATGAAATCTCCAATCAGATTTAAACGTTTGAAGAATTCAAGATCAGGAATCAAAACTTTAAGATTCCAGAATTAGGAGTCAACAAGACAGGCAACCGGAGATCGAGATTTCTCTCAAGAGCCTAAAATAACATATATTGCATATGCATTTTAGGCACACTTAAGAACATTACATCTATAGCATCACATATATGCACAACTTTGCAGGTTCTAGCTAGAGTCAATTCCAACTTCACAACGAAGGATATTGGACTCGAAGCGACGCCATTTACTCGAGATTGGATTTAACTTCACAACGAAGGACATCCAACTCAAAAACAATTCTTGGATTTCAACTTCACGACGAAGGATATCCAATTTGAGGCTCAACTTCACAACGAATGGGTCATCCACGATTTCAACTTCACGACGAAGGATATCGTGCCCACCAGCAATGTTCATCTTTAGATTGGATTTCAACTTCACAACAAAGGATATCCAATTCATGGCTCAACTTCACGACGAAGGATATCGTGTTCACCAACAACATCTTTAGATTGGATTTCAACTTCACGACGAATGATATCCAATTCGAGGCTCAACTTCACAACGAAGGGGCCATCCACGATTTCAACTTCACGACGAAGGATATCGTGCCCACAAGCAGCATACAACTCTATATTGGATTTCAACTTCACGACGAAGGATATCCAATTCAAGCTCAACTTCATAGAGAAGGGGCTTTCCAGTTTCATTCAGAACCAATTTCAACTTCACAGCAAGGGATATTGGACTCAAAGCAACGCAACTTACACAAGATTGGATTTCAACTTCATGACGAATGATATCCAATTCGAGGCTCAACTTCACAACGAAGGGGCCATCTACGATTTCAACTTCGTAACGAATGATATTGTACCCTAAATATTGACCCAACTTCACGACGAATGAGTCATCTGCAACACAACAACACTAAAGTCTTCAGGTCAAGTTTCAGCTTCTCGATGAAGTATCTTGAGCTAGAAGATGGTTCAAAGGCCACATGCCAAAAGCTTTGAGTTTGATTTCAACTTCACGACGAAGGATATCGTGCTCAGAATTTTCCAGTTCAACTCAACCTCATGACGAGGGAGTCATTTCGGGATTCAATTCAGATTGACAAACCAGTCTTGACATCGGATTTCAACTCTATGACAGAGGACATTCTATATGAACGAAATTTGTGTCTATTAATATTTGCTCCATTTTCGTTACACGATAATAAGCAAAGAGGGGCAGCTGTAGACACCCTATTTCATCCATTTATGCATTATATATATATTATAATAAACATATAATATATATTATTTATTATTTATTTTACTGTTACAGGCCCCAAAATCAAACAACCCGATACAGTGGCCCAACAATGGTCCAGCAGTGACCTGGACCCGTGAACCGAATGCAGCCCCACGACCTGCAGCACCTAGGGTTTTCGAACCCTAGGCATCTCTCACCCAATGCCGCTCGACCGAATATGTAGAGACCCAATTACCGAAGACTCCTCACCCACTGCAGTTTTCTCGGCATTTTGATTTCATGCAACACCAAGTCAACAACAGATTATAATCATGGGACTCTCAACAACCAAAAAGCAAGTGTTTGAGTCATAGTATGAGTCCAAAAATCAGACTTTGTAAACACTATAAATAGGCATGTAATTCGAAAGGAAAGATCACTAGCAACACATAAGGATTACACGCAAAAAATACCCAAAAATACGCAAGATCCAAGGCTTGTAAGCGTTCGAAACAAAGAAATAAAAAAGGTATAAGTTTTTTTTACCTTGCTTTCGGTTTCTCTTTGGTTTGCACGTTGCTATTTTGATTTCAGTTTAAGAGATAACCCAAATCGCCAATGAGAAAGGGTTTCGAAGTTTTCGAACCTAGATCTATCCTCAAGGGCATGTTCTTTTTTTAAAAAAAATGATTTTTGAAAATAGGAGTGAATAAGCTTTTCTATTTTTAAAAAAAAAAAAACAAAAAATAATTTGCCGTCGATGACTGGATTCTGGAGAGCACAGCCCATGTTCTTCATTTGTGAATAATAAATGAAAGAGTATGAAGAAAGGAAAAGGGGGCTCTCGTGTGAAGGAAGGAAAATAAGGGAAATTAAAAACTTTTTGGGCTTTATACTTAGCCCGTGCCCGACCCGTGACCCGCGCGCGACCCGATTCAGCTGAAGGGATCTGCGCGTTTTTTATTTAAAAAGGGTAAATTACGCTTTTGATGCTCACGCCTTTGAAAAGACTTATTTGAACCCCCTAAATTCAATTTAAACCCAAATTTCTTCTCAAATTAACCCTTGAATTTGACTCTCCTTTCAATTTAATCATTTTTATTAGTATTTATTATTATTTTTTATTTTATTAATTATATTTTTATATACTTTGTTTATACGATATTATTATTATTATTATTATTATTATATTATATAACTATCATTCTGACTATTATTATTATTATTATTATTTTACTATTAACGTATATATTTTACTTTTTATTTTTTTATTTCTTTATTTTTTAATTTTTATCTTTATTTTTATTTTCTTTATCTTTACTTATTTTCTATTTCCTTTTTATTTATTTTGTTTCTTATTTATTTTTATTTTGTTTTTGTTTTATTTATTTATTTATTATATTATTATTAGGTTCTTTATTTTATTTATTTTATTTTTTATTTTTACTTTTATTCCTTTTTTTATTTTTTTCTTTTTGTTTATTTATTTTTTTTCTTTTTTTTCTCTTGATTTTATTTTTATTATCTTTTTTCCTCTAACGCGTTTCTCGATTTTTTAAGGGTATATCAATCAATCAGATGTAAGTTTTGAATCATTATTTTACTTTTTAACTTAAACTTTCAATTTTTTTAATTAAAGACAATTGTAAATTACGTAGTACCGAAAGGGCAGTTCAATGGTGCTAACCCTTCCTTGACTGTAACCGACTCTTGCAACACATCTTTGGAAAGACGCAGATAATGTAATAAATAAGATATCCGATCAACCCATTTGTTTTAAAATAAATGATCCCAATAATTCAAGTCGAATCCCAATTTCGGACCCACCCGAAAGACGATTCCGAAAGAACTAAAATGTTTAGTACAGTGCAAGGGTTGAATTCTAACAGTTCTGGCATTTCCATAGAAACATTAAGAGGTTAGTACTGAAATAAATCTTTATTGCAATGCTAAGGGCCAAAATGTTTTCTTAATCCAATTTGAATTATTCTAGATACTTCCGTTGCACTATAAAAAGACGATCTTGGTATTTTAGATTAACAGCTGACAATAACTGATAGTATGAGCTTGATAAGAAATTAGGTAAATATGCAGTCTATAATGTATGTTAGTATAGCAAAAATACTTATTCATAGACCATATATACAATACATTGTTAACAAAAGCCTCAAGAATCCTTATTCTTACTTGATGGACACTCCAAAGCTGTAGACATATGATTTTTCAGTATGTATCTCCTTCGTCAATATCTCATGTGCCATGTAAATAAGAGTTCCAACCATTTTTTTTTTTGGTGAAAACCACCTGTTGGCTTAACTGATGATCTCCAATTCTCAATAGAGACTCTTTTGAGATCTTTCTTATATTCTGCCAAGCCAAAGTCAGCTAGGTGTGCAGAAAAGTTGCTGTCAAGCTGCATCATATACATTACTGGTGTTATATAACTTTGAGCTCAAAAGTCGCTCAATTAAAATCATTTTTCTAAAAGTCTCCTACACCAAGCAGATAAGGACAACAACAGAAATTGGAAGATTATAAAAAGAAAATTACGAGAACATTTGCTGGTTTCACATCTCTATGTACAATTCCTTTGTTATCAGATATTGCAAAGCCTTCGCTGGAAGGAAAAACAGCAGAAGGGGCACGTGTAACATCATCAAAAAGAAAATTTTAGTAAATTTTGGCCCAAAAAAGGGGGGATAAGAAGGATAAATCTTCAAGTATAAACTGTCGAAAGAATAGTGTTTTACAAATAACAAATATTTCCACATAAACTGAAGATAATGCAAAACGTGGCATATCAATAAAATTTCTGACAGATCCAACATTAAGTAATTAACTAACAAGTTACTAAGATAAATAAACAAAGTTCAAGTACGCAGTTATCACGCTGCCATACTCATCACTCTACATATAAACCCCTATTGTTTTCATATATATTCTAGCGCGTAAAGCTATTCTCTGCATCTAAGATATGTCCATATACTCTTTAAATCTCCAAGCTTATGATCAGGACTCAGCTGAATTCATATTAAAATGACACTTTAAAAAAACGATCAAATAGAAAAAGGAAATTGTGGAGAATGAAGATATACCTAACTGGAGCATGATTGGCAGCGCCTGATCAAGATCGGGAATCCATTCTTGAACATGTAATTTATGAGCAAGGTTGGTTTGTTCATAGAATTAGAAGAAGAACATATAGTTGGGAGGCTTGGCATGGGCGGCGACGAGAGTAGCGATGCCATGATGGTCTAGTGGCACAGGAGCTGCAACTCCTTGTGAAATTTATTCAACTCCTCCGAAGTAGACAAGATTGGCTTCCTCGCAGCAACTTTCTTTCCATCCAAAATCGCTTCATAAACAACGCTTTCGGCCCCTATCACCCCAAAAAAAAAACAGATGAGCAAATTCTAGGTGGAAAGGGAAGGAAAGGAAAGAAGAGAAGAGAAGAGAAGAGAAGAGAAAATTACCCCTGGCAATAGGGGAGAGAAGAGTGAAGGAAGTAGGAGGAAGGTGAAGAGGGATGGAGTCGCTGGAGCAGCAACCTCTGACGCAAGTGTTTGTCTCCACTATTCTAACCCCACTCTCTGTCCACTAATTCTCCAGCGGGAAACCCCAATAAGAGGGATGGGATTTCGGATTTGGATTTTGGGAAATTCCCGGGAACAGCAGCTTCAATGGAAATTTCCCAATCTGCGTGGCAACGGTTTAATTGTCAGACCCTGTTAAGTTTGTCTTTGGTTGTTGTCGCTTCATGGTCCGAGCTTCTGCCATCACTAACAAAGAATATGGTTTCAATTTGTTATATTCGTTAGGGTAAATTCAGTATTTAATAACTCTAATTATAATTTTGGTCTTATTTTGATCATTCGATTATTTTTTTAAAATCATTAACAATATTATGTTTTGATTTTATTTTGATAAAAATAATAATAATAATCTTGATTTTCAACATAAAGTAATATTATGACATTATTTAAAAAATGTGTTAGTAATTCTATTAATATCTTTAATGACGGATGACAAAAATAAAATCAAAACGTAATATTAATGATGATTTTGAGAAAAAATTAATTGAATGACCAAAACAGAATCAAAGTTATAATTGGGTGACTAAATAATAGTTTACCCTTTTCTGATTTAAATACGCAACTGGTTTTTTGTTATTTTAAAATTTAATATCCCAAATCCCTCATTAATTTTTTTTTCCTCTTAATGGGTTAGCTTAAGAACAAAATTGTGTTATCCAGCATTAAATTATGGTACAACTAAAAAACAACTCTCCCATTGGAAATTTTATATCACTGTGGTTTTTATTTGTTCCTCTGACCCCATCACAAATCACACGAGACACAATTGATAATACAACCGAACTAGTAAAAGGAGTTCAAAATCTAAGGACAACGAATTGAGAGAACTCAGATATCCGCAGCCACACGTTTGTACAGATGAGAAGGCAGCCTAGGAGTGGCAATAGCCTGCAAAGGAGTCCGCATATAAGCAACCAGTCCAGGGTTTTCAAGCATGTCAATTTCCTCAGCCTTGACTCCCTCGGCCGGTGTCCAACAAAAATGGTGCAACAAGTGACCCAACATGGATGTGACCAGGTTGATCCCAAGTTGCGCACCGGGGCATATCCTCCTCCCCGCACCAAGCGGAAGCAGTCGGAAATCATGACCCTTCATATCGACGTCCTCCTCCAGGAATCGTTCTGGCCGGAACTCTTCGGGGTCCTTCCAGACTGCTGGATCACGGGCTACTGCCCATACGTTAACGTGCACATTTGATCCTTGGGGATGTCATAGCATCCAATTTTCACATTCGCATTGGCACGATGGGGTAGCATTAGAGGAGTTGGAGGATGTAATCTTAGAGCCTCCTTGGCTACGATTTGAAGGTATGGGAGATTTGAGAAATCGGTTTCGGACATCACCCTTTCGAATCCTACCACACGATCTAGCTCCTCTTGTGCCTTTTTCTGCACTCTTGGATTCCGGACCACCTCGGCCATTGCCCACTCGACCGAGATTGCTGTTGTGTCCATGCCTGCGGTGATCATGTCCTGCATATTTCATTCACTTGTCAGAGTTTACTTTGTTTGATGGCTGTGGAGCCTAAAATAATAATCTCCAAAACCTAAACATGCTTACCCATAGAAGCCCAATAATGGTGTCCTCGCTAAGATCATACTTGTCTTGCAATGTAAGCAAAGCATCGACAAAGTGTCGCTTGGCACCGCCGCTTTTCTGATGGGCAAGGGTGTGCTCCTCCATGATAGCTCGCGTGAGACGGTCCCTTTGTGCCCCATGCCTGGCGAATGCCTCCTCTTCCAACGGAAACATCCAACGAAGCCACGGAATGTGTTCGGCCATGGCAAGTGATGCACCCAGCTTAATCCCATTAGCCTCAATGGCCTTGAATTCTTTGCCTTGCTCGTCCATTACGCCCTCGGAGTTCACGAAACGCTTCCCAAACGCTAGCCTTGTTATGTTGTTGAATGCTACAGCACCCAAGTATTGCCTTACTTGAAAACTTCTGCCCTGGCTCTCTGCATCAGAATTTTCATTCAATTTCAAGCAACATTCAGATATTGTTGGAATGCCACGAAATTAGCTTAGGCAAAACTAACTTGTAAACCTATGCTAGGAATAAAAGAATACCATCAAGGAGTTCAATGCGGAGCAAATATTTTAGTTCAATCGTTGAATTAACGAGTATTTAGATTGAGTTGATCAGACAAGTGAGAAAACCATTTCACAAGAGATCAAGTGAAATAAAGTTTGGGTAATAAAATTTAGTGGGCTACCTCAACTCTTTTTGGGGAAAAATGGCATTTGTAAAATGAATTTGTTAACGTAGCAAACAAGGAACGAAAAGTTGTTCATCCACCCTAGTCAACAAGCCTATACAGACCTAATGAAGGTGGTTGATCACCTATAGAAACAAGTGCAAAGTCATAGAAATATACTCTAATTTATTGATCAAAATTAAATATTAATAAAATTTTATCATCGTTTTAGTTTATATTTATTTAATTTTTAAATAGTTTAAACTGAATTTTTATCATTTTTGGGAGACCAAACAGTGAAATTTTATCATGCCTTAACTTTAAAGCATTAATTTCATGAGGAACTAGATCTGATATTTGACCATTTAGAGGCATGGCCCTGCGAATGAAATAATACATTTGCTCAGATAAAAATAATTATCATGAATTTAAAAGTTAAATTTTTAATTTAATAAGCAACGATTTTAAATTTTTTATTAGAAAATCTAACTATTTTTAATAAGCTATTAGCTATATACTTTACTTTAAAAACTTCTATGATAAAAAAATTAGAGTAAATTACATATTTAATATCTAAACTATTAGTTTTAAACTTTTTAGTACAAACTTTTATTTTTTTCAAAATCAGTTTAATTTTTATTTTATTTTATTACCAGTTTAAAGTTCAATGTTAAATTTTAAAAATAAAGTGAAAATTTAAGTACTAAAACAAAATAAAACTAACAATTTAAATATTAAATGCATTAATTTTTTAAAGGTAAGTACTAACATAAAATAAAAATTAAATGTTAGATATACTTTAAAAAAAATTAAAAGTATAGATAATAAAACGGTCAAAAACTGAGGTTTTGCGTAGTTTACCCAAAAAAAATAAAATAATTAACGCTCCTTTGGATAGAAAAGAAAATAAGGGAGAAAAATATCAATACCAGGATTGGTGGTGTCGAGAAAGATGGATTCAACCATGGCGGAAACCTCATCTTCTCTGATAGGTCTCAAAGCCTCGAGCCTCTTGGGAGAGAAAAGCTCCAGCGTGCACACTTTCCTTACCTTGAGATAATGAGGCCCGTATTCGACACGATCACGTTCAGAGTCGAACCGAACCAAACCGATATAATCGGACCGTACTTCTGAGCCCATTCCGCGTAACACCGGAACCTTACGGGCTTTACATCGTAAAGATTCCCGACCACCGGCCACGGCCGTGGGCCCGGCGGGAGCTTAAATCTCAGCCGTTGAAAAAGCTGGTACGTTATGAAGATGGCGGTGACGGATGTGATAATTATTAGTGGAAGACCCATCTGTGAATTTTATTGAATTTTGTGGCTATTGAAAAACAGGCTTTGGGACGATGCGGATATATGAAAGAGAGAAGGAGGTGGTGAATTGATTTGTGATTTCAGGATGTTCACACGCAGAATGGAGATAAGTTCCATTGAAAATGGAACACATCAACGTCATGGGTGGTGGGAGTGATAGTTTCAGGGATTGTGTTAGGCTGGGTGATTAATTTGAGTTTTCGGAGGTTGTTGGTTGTCGGTGTCTCACATGGGAAAAATAATTTTAAAATATTAAATAAAATTTGTGTAATTAAAATTCAATTCCTTTTAAAATAATTATAATATAAAAAATTTATAATTTTATTAAATAATAATTAAAATTTTAAAATAATATTATTTTATTAAAATAAAGTAAAAGTTATAACTCAAAAACTAATATAAAAATTAATAATTAATCAAAATAAAATATAAAAAATATTTAAAAAAACTTTAATTGAACGGATTCAATCCAAATCACAACATATCACATTTTAATCTCACGGTAGATTAGGCCTTAGAGGAGGATTATCTCCTTATAAGCAAGCCCATTATCATTTTGCCATCCATATTCCCGGAAAACACATGGGTAAGTTGATAAATATAGGGTTAAAATTATTGTGTAAAAGAATCATTAGGATCTTATTGATAAAAAGATATTATTCATTTATTCTCTCTAAACAACTTCAATTTGAGTAGTTACGTTTGTATAGCGACAAAAGAATATTAATTGGGTCGAGGGTGTTGAAAGATGCCGAGAGGGGCAGGAGCTGTGTGTTTGGAGGAGCCTGCTTGATTGGTGGTTTCGGACACTGTTTTGTAGGGGACTGCCTGAATGATGGACGTATCGAGGAAAAGAGACGACAGTGGTGGATTGGATGAGTTTAGGTGAGTGAAACTGCAGTGTTGGTTGGGTTAATTCAATCACGAAGCCTAGTCTGTTTTCTCCTTTACATCTTTGAGTAGCTGTGGTGGTTGGGGTGAATGGTTATTGGATGAGTTGACACACAGAGACAATTTGTGTTTATCTTGAATTGATGTCGAGTAGTAGGGAAGAGATGGGTTATCTGTTATGTTGGTTATCTGTTAAGATTGAAGTCTTAAATCGTTGATGGTTTACTTCGAGTACTAATATTTAAAAAAAAAATTAAGAATCATAACAAGCACAAATATTACCCAATCTTTTTCAGATTTTATTTTTAATACCGGAACATGAGAACAAGTAAACAGCTTCTCAGACGAACAAGAAAAAAAGGCAAAGCACTTCAGTCATTTGCCATATTGATATCACCCACCACACTATTCTTCAATTCATTATAGTAGTTTTCATTGCATATTTCTTTTGTTGAGTGATAGAATCTTATAGTTTCCTTCTCTTATTTTTCAAAACCTTTATATATTTCTTTTCCCACCTTTCATCATTAATTCTACCTACCGACCAAAGCCTTTAGCTTCAACTAAAAGCATCACTTGCCGGGCCACGATAGAAAAGTTCAGCTACAAACATAACAGCAAAAGTATTGCAAACATGACCAAATTGGCACCATGTGCAGGAAAGCCAAAGGCTGAGGATATTTTAGAAGACAGATCCGAAGTACAAAGAGAGCTTAAAATGCTACAGAATTTGTTACTAGCCGCTACCACCTAATAGTTACTCTGTTATTGTGTATATATAAATATATAAACTAGAAGCCCAAGTAGCGACCCCTGTTTTGTCCCTTAAGCAGTCACCAGATGCGGACCCGATCGTGGAAGTCCACAAGAATACGTAACATACTTGACACTGTCTAAAAGCACAACAACAAAGATCCGAGAAAGAGATTTCGGTACAATCATGTCATCCATATCCCCATCACCAGCCTCTCTGGGATCAACAAGCACGGATACTACCATAGAAGAAGCAGTTTTGTTACCTTGAAAATCTTGCTTCCCGGAATTTCTGCTAGCATTCTGCTGGGTTATGTTCACATCAGAACTAAAGAGAGGAACAGGATGACCATGGAGAATCCTTCTGTTTCTTCCCTTGTTATGCATGGTAGCATTTTGATGTTGTTTGGAAGATTCATTGGGAACTGAGGAAGCTGGAACGATGGCTCCTGGGGCGGAGATGTCAAACTGGAATACTTCTGTGCACATGCCCGAACTCAACATTGGCCCTACAACAAAGGACAAGAAACTATCAAATTAGTACATCAAATATACGGTTAGAGTGCGTTTGGTTCATGAAATGTAAGATTACCGGTGGGAATAAAATATTATCACCAGGAAATAGGATTACTGGGAATGTTACATTACTGTGTTTGGTTGGTTTGGCAGGAATGTAAGATTACAGTGTTTGGTTGAAGGAATAAAATATTACTGAAATGTATATTTTACTAAATTGTCCTTGTTCTATATTTTTTAACAAGTGAAATTCTAAATATTTAAATAAAAATTATTTATATAAAAATTTTATCTGTTGATAATATATTACTTGAATATTTAAATATATCATGTATTTTTTAAATTTTAATTAATATTAAATTTTATATAATTTATGTAAAAATATATTAAAATTTTACATCAACATTTAACTATATGCATCGGTCTGTTCAAAGTATTCAAAAGACAAAGGCTTTATTTTTGGAAGTCTATTAAAAGATGATATATTGCTAATGTTAAAAAAATTGTCTTTCAAATAAAGTACTTCCAAATTCGTCAATTTTAGTTTTGGCATATTATTACCGAGTACAATTGTTTAAATTTATTGTTTCACGTTACATCTAATTATAAGCCAGTATTAAACAAAAATATTTCATATTTGAAAATTTCTGGATCAATTAAATTTTTATTTGAAAAAAATACAATTAATTAATCATTTTAATTGGTTAAAAATATTATTTTACTTAAAAATTATTTAAAGCTAATAATTTACTTTTTCTTTCTCAAAATGTGAATTATCCTTATTATATAACCTAAAATATTTACTTTGATTGGTATGATCGCTATTATAATAATAAAAAAACATATTTATTAGCATAATTACTAAAAATAATTGTGTTCCAGTAATCTCTTTCTCAACAATAAACTAATGACTAATCAGAACTAATTTATTATCTTTGACAACAATAAAATTAAATCACCAGTATAATAAGTGACAAAACTTATTATTTCACAATGAATCATGTTAAAGAACTAAAAGGACAATTCAAAGAACAGAAATAGGCACTCCGAACAGTCATACTGGTAAGAGCTGCAAGTCCGGCATCTGTGATTTGACGAGAATCCAGGTTGAGTGATTTCAGAGACGAGAGTCCAGACAATTTTCTTAAACCACCATCTGTAACTCCAGTAAATGACAGGTTTATGCTCTCCAGATTAACCAAACCTACAAGTAAACCAAAAGAAATCGGATGATCATATATAAGAAGATATCAGTTTTATATGCTTATTCAATGATTAAAGCTCCTCAGACTACTAAATGAACAATGCTGTTATGCGGACTCATATGAGAATGCCAGATCCAGGTATATGTCTAACATAGGTGCCTTCAATTGTTTTAAAAAAAATTCCATGTAGAATCATCTGAGTTTTGAGAAGGCTTCCAAAGAAGGATAGCAAATCAGGGCAGCGATAACAGAGAATCAAATCAAGAAAATAATTATATGCAACAAAAGAGTTAAAGAAGCACTTTACCACCAAAACTAGAAACAGAAAGTAACAGCAACTGCAAATATAGAGAATGTCATACTATGAGAAAGGAGGATATCTAACCAGAAAGATGGAGAAGGTCATTGCTTCCAACTTCAGTATCAGACAACTCCAAACATTTCAATCGTTGAAGTCCTAAACAAATGAAAGCGGTTGTTTTCAGCCACTGTCGTCTATTTTTTTATAAGATAGCGGAGAATTATTATGAGCTGAGGTAATAGGATGGTTTAATGAAGATGCCAATCCTCCCACAGCAGAAGAAAAATAACGTAGGTAGAAACATTGAAATTAAATTAATTATTTCTATTTCAAAATGAACAAATATATAAACAAAGAAAGATGGTAGCAGTTAGACCAACAATTCTCAAACCATACATTTATAATCAATATGAAGAGAATTAGATGACGCTAGAGAAATGAGAAAAATGAATGTGCTGGTGTGGAAGGAGGAAGAAGATGCAAGGAAGAAGTACATGCCTGGGAATACTTCTACCATCCAAGGCATTCCTCGCTGAAGAAGCAGTTTCAGCATCAGTGAATTGGATTAATGCCTGCCAACAATTGTAATAAATATGAACATCATATTGAAAAAAATGAAATCACCACAGATCCAAAAATCTAAATGCACTTTTGCCATCTCACCTGGAATCCCGCAGCCTTTTCAAATGTAGCAATTTTGTGAACAAAACCAAATGCAGAAAATACCTGGAACAAAATTAAATCAGAAACTGGTACATATCACAAATACAAATAAGAAAAGAACATTAGAAACCGTCACAAAGATGGGTATAATGTCAAAGTTTTTGTTAACAAATCCAAATGGACAAGAAATAAGTGCAGAATGACACCTGTGCATACATGGCTCAAGATAGACCTTAGAAAGGAGTATGACGTACATGATAATATTTCCAAACTGTCTCCAACAAAGGAATATAAATAAGGGGCATAACCATCTGTGATTCAACTGATTTCGATAAAAAAAACTGCCATCTCCAACAAATGTAACAGTTTAACTCATTTCAAATCTATAAGAAACGGTCTTGTGCTCTCCTATTAAAAAGCATATTCCTTAAAATACAGGATTTAAGGAAATTAAGCTTCTCTCATCAGTCGTAGAAGAAATAACACACGAAAATAGAAGTGATACTTCATACATGGCAGTTCACAAGAATTTGACGAACTAAATTAGGCCACTTCTAGAGTCTAGACATAGAAATTCAAGATGTCTCCATTTAGTCATACAAATATGCTCCTTCCTTAATCTAGAGCACCTGAAGCAAAAAGAGGCTTTAAAAATTCTAGAGAGCCAATTCTTATAGCAGAAATAGAATAGAGAATCTGTAACAATTGAAGGCATTTAGTTGAGAAATGCATGCCAGTAATAAGCACTTACCAAGTGAATCGTCTCAATGGTCACATCATTAGCTTCCACACCTTCAATGGTAACTAGCAAAACATTTCCTAGGGTATCTCCGGGACTCTTGTTGTTGACAATTTCATGTCTGTTTGACTATTGAATATATACATTTTTTCCACAAACCTGTGCTGGCTCTGATGATGAAGCATAATATGAAACCATCGAAATAGCCTGATTTAAGTCTACCTGAAAATAAAAGTAACATAATTAACATAAAAACTAACTGATCAACCTGCAAATATTATCTAAATTTCACTGCATGAAATTAACCCATCGATATTCAACCTAGAAGAAGAAGAATAGAACCCAAATGATAAGTTAACCCCTGACAAATCAAAATAAACCATCATCCAAGAAAAATCAAAATCCAACCCGATTGGCGGTGAAGTAACACATCAATGTTTACACATTCTTTTCTTGAAGATTCTAATATGATTACAAGGTTGTATATGTGTCTGATTTCAAATAAGAATAAACTCACACACAACTGCTGACAAAACTGCTCTAACTCGGGTCACATAATAACATTTCTTTTACACTTTCAAATGTGAAAAGCATCAGTTCCCCCATCCCAATTCACCACCAAATTAAAAAGTAATAATAACACTTTGCAATTCTGCAATTAACCATCAAATTTACACATCAAAACATTAAAAAATCAGCTAAAAAATAAACGTATGCAAAGAAAACAAATCTCACAAAAAGAACTCATACTTCGACAAATGGAAGGAACACACTGAAATTTACACTAGAAAATCAATTTCCCAAAAGAGTAGACAATCAACAATTGATTGTCCTTACACAACACAAATTGAACATTATTTTTCGCTGACACAAAGCAATCCATAAACTATAAACAAAGAACTTCAAAAAAAAATGGAAGGATTTAGAAGCTTACAAATTCAACAAAAGCTTGGTTCCGATTGGCGCCGACATTGCACTTAGTGTTAACGATCTTCCTAAAGGGTTTGCAGAGCTCGACGAGTTCCTCTTCGGAACACTCCCATGGGTATAACGGAATTTCGACCAAAAACCAAAACTCGATCACGAAGCCCGAAGACTTTGTCCATTTGCTTGGAAGAGGAAATTCGAAGAGGAACCCTATGGAAGTGAGCGTTGAGAAAATCAATGGAGAGATGGGAAAAGACTTTGTCCATTTGTTTTGAAGCCTCACACCAAGAAGCACAGAAGTGAAGGATAAGCGATGCAAGAAGAAGAAGAAGAAGAAGATTTCAGCAGAACGAAGGGGAGGGGAGAAGGCTATTTTAGACAACGGGGACGGGAATGAGTAAATACCTAGGGGAGAGGAGGGATAGACATTCCCGGGAATGCAGTAAAAAAAATTCCTGTTGGTATTAATTTTTTCCTGACACTTGGTAATACAACCTATCCAAACATGGGTATATTCATCCAGGAAAACAATATTCCTCCCAGGAAATAAATATACCCTGAACCAAACGGGACCCTAGAGTAGAGTTGGGAGTATTATGACTATAATTAATTTTGTTATAATCCTGCAACTTTTAAACCAATAATATTAAATCATTAAGTGTGGGCTAGCTATAGTATCTGTTGAACCTTACGGCTTACACACTTATGAACTGTATCCCAACATATGCTCCATGGAATCTGTGTGCAAATTTATTTTACTTCAAGTTTAAGGCAAGGAAGATAAAAGTAAAATGACAGACTTCAAACACCCAGCAAAATGATATGGGAAACTAATTTTTAAATCCATGCTCTGAGAACCGATGAACAATAAACCAGATCAAAGGTCAAATAGGTGATACTTCTAATCATCAATCAAACGAATTGAAGTGAATGGCTTAACTGAAAAATAAATTAAATATTATTTCCCATGATTTAGATAATTAAGTATTAAACATAGTAAATAGTTAAAACCAACACTAGTTGAATAGAAAAACAAATTCTACTCAGCAACCCACAAACTGTCAAATTCACAGAAAAACATAGCTAAAAGAAGAAAAGGATAGCATAGACAATTTTTGTGCCACAACCATATAATGATACCAATCCATACTCCTCACTGCAGTAAAGCTACCTAACCTTAACATGAAATCAGTAAGTAAACCAGCCAAATTACATCCAATTATAGAACATTGACATCCAGAAAAGCACCCAATTTGCATACTAAAAAAAACGTAAGAGCAAAATAATTACCTGACACTCCTTCCCGGAACCACTGCTGCATCTTACCATAGGCAGCAGTAGACTTGATATGGTCTTTCAAAGCATCGGCAGAACCAGAAGAGAGAGCCATGTGTCTTTCTGCATGATTACTATATTCACGTGAATGCTTTCCTCCATGCTCCCTGGCATCAGGAATGGCAAGTGCAGGAGGGAAATTCTTATCATTTCTCGGTACATACAAGGAAGCAGTGAGGCTCACTAGCATTTTGCACCCCGGTCTCTTTTTTCTCAACACTGGGCTCTGAGCTTCTACCATTAACTCTATTGCTAATGTCAAAATTCCTACCATAATTAGACCCATTTATATGACTATCAACTCTCAAAACTTTCCCACCATGCACCTTGTAAAACCCATCTCCAACAAAACCAGACCCAACAGGTGTATTATCATATCTTAGGTTCAAAATTGGGACCAAACCACTGAAGAATAATATGAAAAACAACATTCCTAATAAACTAACACTAGCAACCTTCTTAGCTTTGCTGTCACCCTTTTTAAGTTTAGAAGCCGGTTTCGGTTGCTGCTGTTGTTTCAACCTAGGGATAGGTACCAATGGCACTTGAGACCCTGGAGTCTTCATCATATACAACGGAGCACGTGGCATCCAACGGTATGCCATTGGTGGATACATAGGAATAGGCATTGGCTGTGGAGGGCACACTCCACCACCACCACCACCACCACCGGTACTTAATTGCTGTCTCAAGGTAGCTTTCTCCGCCATAAAATAAGCTATCTTATTATTCAAATCAGAAATCGTGGAATGCATTGTCCTAACCTTATCTTCCAGCTCTTCCACGTAATGCTTCTTCCGCTGCCTTGACAGCTGCGCACTCTCTGTTCCTCATGAGCCTCGCCCTCTTTTTCTCCTCCTCCTCGCTCAGAGCATTTGACTTATTATCAGAACTGGTGCTATAATTGTTCACATTCAGCAGCGACGATTTTATACACTTGACGGAATCAGCCTCTTCATGAACCATCTTCCTTTTCGATGCTCGCCTTATACCCAATTCTTCAACATCAATCTTTTGATCGACATCGGTTCCAGAATCCGCCGACGCAACGTTCGTATCCCCGGAAACGGCCGAACCACAATTTCCACGGCCTAAAGACGAGACAGGAGAGTGTGAATTACCGGTCTGGCCGCAGCAACTATCAAATTCCGGGGAGGAAGAATTAAGGTACCCTTCCACGTAAGATTCGGGTGTAGCACCGGAAGAATAGGGCACGATCACGCCCGCAAAGTACAATTCGTCCAAGTCGTCGAACGTAAGCTGGAAATCATGATTGTCGTAGGTAGGAAACCCTAAATCTGAGGACAGATACAACGGATCCATAGGGGGAATGACCAGCGATTCCAATTCGGCGCTCAGTTCGGGTTCAACCGGCGCTTCTGCCATTGAATTTAGGATTCGGGGTGGCGGAGTCTTACAAATCCGGCGGATTTCGGAAGGAAGAATGAAGGATTCCGATCGATGAAAGAGCAAGACTTCGTAGTGAGTCTTCCTTCTACGCTTGGCCTTTGCCGAGTGGGCGTTGGTTGGTTCTCGCCTTATCAACAACGCCTAAAAAACCATTAAAATCTGAGATCTGATAGAATTTTGGATAATTCACGGACAGGGTACATGCGCTCGGTTTAATAAATACAAATTAAATCTTATGTCCAAATACTTACTTTTTTTTAATTAAGATCTTCCGAGTTTTAAAATCACAAACAAATTAATTTAAGTTTTAAGGCAAATACGTTTTCAATTTGAAATTACCATTGATAATTATTTAAATGTATTCAGTTAAGTCATTTGTTAAATTTAAGAGAAAAACTAATGCAGTAGTTAAAATATTTGATATAATTACATATTTGGTTATTATTATTTATATATTTTTTTAATTTAATCTTAATTTTAATAAATTAAAATAAATTTAACCCTTAAATTAAATGGTATCATATATAATGGTTCACAATTTAACTTTTTTATTTTAATTTATTTTAAATTTAAAAATTACGACATATTCTATATTTATAAAAAAATATTTTTCTAAAAAATTGAATAACTCAAGTAATAATATATGATATTAAATTTAAAGCAAATTAAATTTATTGCCCTTTTGATATAGGTCAATCTCTTAGTGTAAAATTTTTTATGCTAAGTCCACCGAGAATCTTATAAGTATAAACTTTTATTAAATATGGACATAAAATTTTATGGTAGGAGATTAATTTTTTAAAATTTTAAAGAAATATTATGTCAAACGATAAAGAAATATATGACACATTTTTTATTAGAAATTTACTGGATTAAAAATTCTTAGTTTTACATGTTAGACTATATTACCTTTTTCTATTAGAATGTCATTTACAAACAGTAGTAGGATAAAAATTTTGTCCAACGAACTTTATATGCATGGGCTAATCAATTATATTTCCCTTAAAACCAAAAGAGGTTACGGGATGCTTCTGAAAATCGTAAATGTAATTTTTTAGTAAAATTTTTTTTGGTTATATAGAATATGTCTTAACTTTTAAAATATTTTAAAATTAAAGATTTGAGGGCTAGGTTTATTTTAATTTATTAAAACTAAGACCAAATTGATATAATATATAAGTAATAGTGATCAAATCCATTAAATATTAATGGCAAGTGGCTTAATTGAATGTATTTAAACAGTTGAGTGACCTGATTGAAAAAAAATTAAAAAAATATTGGTCAAAATTAAAAATGACAATAGTTAGGTGTCACTAATATAGTTTACCCTTTATTTTAAATAATTTATCTTTAAAATTTTTAACTAATTTATAATCAAGTTGAGTTCTTTAAAATTTAAATTTTTATAAATTAAATTAATTGTACTCGTCGTTAGTGATATTTATCGCTGCTCATAGACATTGAATATTGTCCAAATCTGAATTAATGTTTACTCTACCTCTTATACTCAACGAAAATGAAAAATTAAAAAAACGATCTGAATTATATGATTCTATTTTATTTGAATTTTTCGGTTTACTATTTGATTTTAGTTTGATTTAAAAATATAATTTTATAATTTGATTGAATTTTAATTTTTTGATATAAAAGTCGTCTGTTATAAATGAAATCGAATTAACAAAAGAGAAAAAATAAGTATCCACAAGAAATTTATTTTGAATTTATTACAAGACAAATTTAAATAAATGAAATCTTAAAACTAATAATATTTGTTATGAATTTAAACTTATATGTTTGCACTCAGTTAACTTTTAAATTTGCTTTCTTTGGACATTGGGTTTAAAAAATAGTAAAAAATCATAAATAATAAGTTGAATCGAAAATCGTGATTTTTATATCTTTGATTTCGATCTAAACATTTTAAAAATAGTAAAATACAAGCCAAATTATATTTTATTAACAATCAAATCGAACTAAATACACCCTTACTTACACCATCATTTCATCACATATGCATTTAACTCGATTGTACAACGTTTCACTCTAGTCAAGTAAATTTATTCATAGTTATAACATTTCACACCCATTTATTAAAAGTTACAAAACAATCATTCGAGTATTTATATTTTTAAATTTGTCATTTTTTGTTTAGAAATTAGTAACCATTTGAGTTAAACGTTAAATTGCTTATTAAGATATGGTAAAATATGATCTTAAAATTGTTTGAGTAGTATTTTGTGGATCGATACTCTGTTTATTTTATGTAATCGAGTCAGTGCTTGAAACATGACGTAGCCGAGCCAGTGCTTGAAACATGACGTAATCGAGCCAGTGTTTAAAATAAATTACGGTATCAGTAGACATAATTAAAATATGATTTTACTGTATTTCAGTCAACATATTAACTTTTAACTCAAACGATCGTCAATTTGTTAATAAAATTACTAAAATTGAAACATACAAATAATCATGTAAAAATTTATAACTTTTAATATTGAATAAAATAGTTAAAAAATAATAAAATAGGTAGTGATTTTTTAACTTTTTAATAGTTAAAAAATTAATAAAATAATATATTATAATCAGATGAACGTCTTCACCCAAAAAAAATTACTTGGGGAAATGGAGACCGGATCTAAAGCCAGTGCATTAAAAATAACCAAATCCCGAAGATAAGATGGAGTCAGTTGGCAATAGAATAGGAGGGAAAATCAAAGTCAAAAAAGCAAAGGAAGGCTCAAACGAACCCTACATATACACCCCCACAAAGGCACGAAACTGAAGAAACAACAAACAAAGAGGGGTGTGGCAGTGCGGCCTTCAGGAAATACTATTTTCCGGCGACTGTTTGATCCTCTCCCGCTCCTGATGCTGTTCTTCCCTGGATGGCTTAATCAGTGTTCCGGGTCTCTCTTTCTCTCTCATTTCACTCAATTAAATGATTTTAATCCAAGACCTTTCAATATTGTAGATTATTTGTGATATTTTTTAAATCTGTACAGAGCATTGCGGCGATTTATAATTGGAGGAGCGAGGGGCTGATTTACAGGTCTGATTTTATTTGGATTTATGTTTCAATTGTTTCCTCGCCTTCCCCCCCCCCCGGTTTTTGTTTATAATTTGACTAGGTTTTTCATCAATAGGAAAACGAAAAAAGTTTCAGGTTTGATGGATTCAAGAAATATATAGATAAATGTCAATCTGGTATCTATCGGGTGTATGCAATTGAATCCTACACCACACAAATTTGAATAGGTACGTGCATTGATATATATTATTTACTATAAACTACTAATTTAGTCTTTCAATTATTCTTATAGTTTTGTATTAGTCGATTAGTTATTTTTTTTAAAATCATACTTAAATTTACTTTTTGTTTAATTTTAGTTATCCAACTATTATTTTTTCAAAATTATACCTAAACTTATGTTTTTGTTCCAATTTTTAAAATAAACAGAACAAAACTTACACTTGTAGTTTAACTATTCTTAATTTTCTTTATTCTTTCGATGATGATGTGCTAAGGTATGATCTTTGAAAAATAAAATGCTGTTTAATAATTATTTATAGCGTTCGTCTTACATTGTTCACGTTTTTGGAAAAGAAAATGGAGGTTGACATAGAAAAGGGTTTGAATTTGTAGATGCATGTGATTGGTCTCATACGAAAGACTGATAATCCTATCCGGGAATAGGTGGCTCTGAACTTGGTATGATTGACTGCCGTGTATTAATTTCTTCAAAATGGCGGTAGGCGTTGGTCAACATCATGGATTCAAACCGTTCAGCCGATCTCAGAGATGCAGACTCCAGTCCTTGAACCGAACTCGAGTACAACATTCTTGAAGTTGGTACAAAGACCTTGCTCAGTCTTTGAAACAAGTATTTGAAGTTGCAAATTTCCATCGTAGTTTCTCGACTCCCTGCCTTCCATTAGCCACTAATGTGGAGGAAGAGTTTGACACCCCTCCGGGGTTGAGATCATTGGGGGCCAAAGGGCCCCAAGAAACGGTGCTCTTGTCGTCGAGGTGGCCATGGCCATCTCCCCCGGGAAGTGCCTGTTCCAGTATCCAACGGGCTTGGTGGTGCCTACCTCTTACATAACCTGAGTGGTGAAACTATAACCCGAAAGGTTTTGCAGGATCGATGTCAGGACAGCCAGGAATAAAACGTTCCATTCGTGTAGGTGAAACCGGTATTCATGAGTTGGCGGCTTATCTCCTCGACCATGGTGGGTTCGGCGGTGTTCCTGCGACAGCTCTTGTGAAAATATCTCATCTTGCATGTCATGTCAATGAAGCAACCGCTATCTCTGCCACGCCTTATAAGATTGCCTCCCTACAAAATTTCGTCTCTCATGACTTCGATGCAGGGGAGTTAGGGCCTGCTGGTTTCTCAGTGGCTTCAGTTCATAGAATCGGGATATTCGACTTAAGAATCCTGAATCTAGACCGGCATGCCGGAAATATTCTTGTTAAGAAAAAGGGCCAACATGAAAATTATGCTGCCGGTGCAGCTGAGCTTGTGCCCGTAGATCATGGTCTTTGCCTACCAGAGTGCCTTGATGATCCATACTTTGAATGGTTGCATTGGCCTCAAGCATTGGTTCCTTTTTCCGAGTCAGAAACCGAGTACATTCTGAACCTCTATCCGTATAAAGACGCAGAGCTTTTGCGGATGTAGCTTCCGTTGTTAAGGGAATGCTCCATACGAGTCATGATCCTTTGCACCATTTTCTTGAAGCAAGCTGCCATTGCTGGCCTCTGTCTTGCGGACTATGGAATTTCGAGGCGATGAAGAAAAACCGAGCATGCTAGAGACACTTTGCACACAAGCCAAGGCAAATGTATTTATCAACACTTCAGAAGTTGAAGATGATACGGATAATAACTACGATAAAGCTGAGGTTGACACCGGAATCTTTCTATTCGACAACGAAATTGAAGACATCTTCAATGAGGTTGCAGCAGATCTTCCCAAGCTCTTCCACCGCCCTTTGTATTCGGCCAAGCCGACAAAAACTTTGAAACAATTTCTCTGTAAGATCGATGCCGGGATTGCACGGCAACAGTAGCTACGGCAACAGCATGAGTTTCTCGGTGCTAAAGAATAACCAGGAGAGTGGAGATGTGTATTTGGGGGATATGAGTGAAGCTGAATGGGGGATGTTCCTGAAGAGTTTTGAGAAGCTTGTGCCTCAAGCATTTGAGGATTCCAACAAAAGGAAGTTGGGAACTTGCAATTTCTGAACAGTTTCAGAAAGGTAGTACAAAAGAGTATCCTGCTAACTAACATGTGCAAATTATTGTACATTAAATACATATTTGCTCGTATTTATGAGTTGTAGTGTAGGAATATAATCATGCATTGTATTTGTACGTGTAAATGCATATGGTTAATTAGGGTACATATGGGTCGTAAAATAAAGTGTCGGCCAGACAGCCGTCCTTTTAACTTATTTTACTTTTTCTTTTCTGCCCTTTTGCATTGTATTTCTTATTTATTTTGCAATGCGGAAACAAAGCATTTAATATTTACTTGCATTTTATTTTATTTTATTATTTGGGTAAATAGGCCAATAATCTCTCAATTTTAGTACTCTTTTTGGTTGAATCTATCACTCTCCATTATAGTAATCTTTTTTATTGAATCTATTAACTATAAAAAATTACAAAATGGTCATATGGTTTTTAAAATGGTAAATAATACCCAAGGTCACTGAATTATAAGTTCGGTAACAAATATGCTCTTTTCCTTCTAAAATTTACAAACATAACATTCAGTTAAAATATTATTATAAATAGATCAGCTCTTTTCCTTCTAAAAATTACAAGCATAGCATTCAATTAAAATATTATTATAAATAGATCACTTCGTCATTGAAATTGAAATATATGTGTTGAACCATGTTTTATAATATTTTGATATGAAAAATTAAGGCAAAATGTTTTTGGACTTGATTGAATTTGTTCAAAGTTTTCAAAAATAATTCAAAGTTTATTAAACTAGAATTTGAGCACAAAATAGTTTTCTAGATACGTAGTACCGATACTGTTCTTACATTATCAATACTACATGAACAGTACCGATATTGTTCATGTGGTACTGATACCAAAGGTAAGAGAAGTATCGATACTACCAGTTGTTTTCCAAATTGCTCAAATTCCATAATGCAAAATAGGTACCGATACTCAAGGGGTACCGATACTACTTTACATAGTGATATCGATATTAGTCAAGTCCAACGGTCTCCAACGGCTAGTTTATTTAAATATTACAAAGGTAGTATAAATACTCATTAAGGGAGTACCGATACTCCCTGTTTTGGGTAGTTTTTTTTTTTGCAAAAAATTAATCCCCAACGACTAGAAACGATCACAAACTCATTCCAACATATAAAAACTCTTGTACATATCCAAGCAATAAGGCAACACTTGAAGAATAAGACAACGCATATCCAAGCAATAGAGATCAAGAGAAAAGATCTTTCACTCTTTATTTTTCTTTTTTCTCTTGTACATATGTGTTTGAGCTCATTACAAATATTTTAATTGTTTTTCTTGTGAGTTTAATTCTTGTAAACACTTACCTTAGTGACGTTTTCTTGTTTACATCTTTTAACATCTGTAAAAGGGGAGTGATTTTAGTTTAGCCATTGAAAAACTAAGGGTTTTGTAAAGGTTACTCTTGAGCCTAGAAAAAGAAAGAACAAATTAGTGAATTTGTTAGAAAATCATTAGTGTGGAGCTAAGGTAGTGGATGTAGACTTGATTTAGAAGTCGAACCACTATAAATCATTGTGCAAATTTTCCTATCATTTCTCCTCCATATCCAAAATTTTTCAATTGGCCAATTCACTTCCTCTTGACAATTATTAGATTGTTCAATTGAGTTTCATCAATCCTAACAATATGTCTAATATGATTTGATATAATAATATTGTTTTTCTCTATAACTTATTCATTATATTATTTTGTATTAAGTCGAAACAATTCACTAAATTAACCTTATATATTCAAATTTTCATCAATTTGATCTTTTTTGAGATACCATCAAACAAGCAAGCCCATTAGATTAAACAATAATTGGATAATTGCAATATGCCATAAAGTATTAACAAATTATTGTTAAATTGTTATTATACTAGAAAATAATAAGGAAGTGATATAACATTTATAGGAGAAAAACAAAAATTAAAATAATAAGAATTTTTAATATGAAGAGTTATATTTATTGAATTACTTTGAATAATAGTCGAATTGATAGATTGTATGAGTTTTATGGACTAAATTATCTTATATTAGACTACATCACTACTTATATATAATATTTAATGATCATTGATATGTTTGTAATAGTATTTTAATTAAATAATTTATTTATAATTTTTAAAAGAAAAATAAGTTATTTATCATCGAACACATAAGAAAGTGATCTAAAGTATACTTTACCCTTTAAAGAATAATAAAATGAAATGTGACCATTACCAGTATTGGTATAATAATAAATTTAATTTTTTTCATTTACACTTTATCATAATTTTAAATATTAACCATCAATATTTTAAAATTATAAAAATTTAATCCTCAATACTCATTGAATTCTCCTCTTAGCAATTTTTTCATTGTATCATCTCTTTAGTTAAATTAATATTTTATCTGAAATTTATAAGTTAAATTAAAAGCTAATTATTTTTACATGTCACGATATAAAATAACATTAATTAATGTTCCAATGACTAAATTATAACAAATTAATAATATAAATGATCCAAAATTAAAATTTAATAATCATAATTTAAAAAAACACTAGGGTTAGTTATGATATTTATAGATGAGCGATGATACAAAGAAGAGCCGACTGTCAGTTTTGAGTTCTCATTTGACCAATTGGCCTTGGGAATCTGCCGTCATGGCTTCGGAGAAAGAAGCCGCCCTCGCTGCTGCTCCTTCTAATTCTCCTACCATGTCAGTCCGACGTTACTTTTCTCCTTCTGCTGCTTCTTCGCATCATTTTATTCTCATTTAATTAATGTTTTTTTCTTTCAGATTTGACAAAATCATCAAGAAGGAAATCCCAGCTACAGTGGTTTATGAAGACGATAAGGTGCTGATCTTTTTTCTTTTATATTTTTTTAAGTACTGTGTTGATCATTCACTGCTTCTTCCTACGCCGGAAGTTTGCTCTAGAAATAATGCCCAATTTCTCTTCTTTAATCTATGGTTTAATGGGATAGAAACCGCCATTTATTCTTGTAATTCTTACAGTAGGTGTTGCCTGCTGATTGTATATATTTTTCTTTTGTTTCTTTTGTAATTCTTACATCACTTTTACCCCGCTTACGAGTTTTAAATAGCTAGCGTTGTAACATGTTTCATGTACCGAAATTCAGTGCTTTGAATGCAGAATTCCTGGATCCCCAACTTTATCTTTCATAACAAAGAAATCTAATGACTTTCTGTTGCATTGAAGAAAATCATTAATTAGTTTTGAATTCTGCTTTCATTAGCCAAAAGCTTTAAACTATCATTATTGGTGAAGGTTTTACAATCAGCCTTTTATCTTATTATCCTAGCACTCTCTGCATTTTTAATGATGACCAACTTTTTATCTTATGATCCTTCAATTCATCCATCAGTTGCATGTGTGAATTGCTGAGTCTCCTCTATGTTTTCTGTTTTGGGGCAGGTTCATGTAAAATTCAGTTTCTGTTACTTCGGTTTGATATGTTAGTTCCTTTCTGCTAGCTAAAAGTTTATTTTCCATTTATTTGCACTGAAAACATGTTTATTTGCCTTTTCTTTTGTTTGTAGGTCTTAGCTTTTAGGGACATAGCTCCCCAAGCTCCTACACACATCTTAATTATTCCAAAAAAAAGGGATGGCCTAACTGGATTGTCTAAGGTACAATTTTTTTTTTCTCACATCCAAGTAGTACGGTTTTATGCCGCCTTGTATAGTGGAAAGTGGAAACAACAATTATGTTTTGTTTTAAATTAAAAAAATAGAGTATTGTTACTAAATGAATTTGACTTGTCAATTCGATTTACCTTTTCCGTTTCACTCATCTTGATGCTGATGTAATAGAATGAATATTGGAGTGAAATTCTGTGTTTTTGGAGTATCCTGTTTTGTTCCTGGATTCATCGCTAGTCTCATGGTTGTGAATTCTGTGTTTTAGGCTGAAGAGAGGCACACTGAAATCCTTGGCCACCTTCTTTATACTGCAAAGCTTGTTGCAAAACAGGAAGGACTGGATGATGGCTTCAGGATTGTGATCAATGATGGCCCTCAAGGATGTTTGAATTCTTTCCCTTATTTTATTTATTTGAGAAACATTCAGTTTTTCAATTTGAAAAGGGACGAGGGAATGATTCAGAATTGTATTCATGTGGTATGTGATGTTGTGTTGCAGGTCAATCTGTGTATCACATTCATGTCCACCTCCTTGGAGGACGCCAAATGAACTGGCCTCCAGGCTAAATGAAGATGTTAATCAGTGGACACCATCTTTTGTGCTAGAGTGCATGCCTACTTGTTAACTTTAATAACGAAAACAGACATGTTAAATGTTGCTCGCATCCATGATTTGAGTACTCAATCGAACTGGGGAAAACTAACGAGCATTGAGCCATGTGTGAAATAGTATACGGAGTGGTTAATTATTTGCCTATTTAACTTTTTTTAGCAGCTTTTCAGTGCGTCAGAAATATGAAGTCTTTCTCCTTGGGCATTATCCAAGATTTTCGTATGCTGAGGGAAACTGAAACTTGATAGTAGACTGGCAGATAGTAGGGGTGTACTCGGTTAGGTTTTTCAATAAAATATGAACCGAGCTACACTTTGCAGGTTTTTAAAAATTAAAACGCAAGTTTTTAAATATTAAAACGAAATCAATTGGCATAAAAATCGTATTTTTTGTTTGGTTTTGTTTGGTTCGGTTTGATTTTGTGATTTCTGACTATTTATTATTTTTTAAACTCACCTCTAAAAAAAGCAAACTATTTTTTAAACTTGATATCAAAAAATAAGTAAGTTTAAAACTTAAATTGAATATATATATATATGTTTAAGTTCATAAAAAATATTATTACTTTTAAGATTTTTATTTAAATTTGTCTTATAATAAATTTAGAATGAATTTGTTTTAGACATTTATTTTCCTTTTTTTATTTTGGTTTGATTCGATTTAGTTGGTTTTCATATGAAAAAAAATAAAATTGAACCGAATTATTTAATTATTTTTTTAACCAAACCGAAATTGAAACACAAATTAAAAAATTCGAACCGAATTGTATAATTTGATTTGGACTGAATTTTTTATTTTTTCGGTTTCGTTGTTCAACCTAGCAGATATTAGCTTCGTGTTATTGGTGTAATAAATTGGTGAAACTTGAAAATTCTTATTAGGGTATTTGTTTCCGGGAACGTGTTGATAGTTTAGTATAGTTATTACTGTTAAGTAAGGGTAAATTAAGCCCGTGTGATGAATTGGTTAACCATATCGGTCCGATTGACTGTGTTGTGAACGCATTTTTCATATAAAATCTATAATACAAAATTGTATTTAGAACAAAATCTGACCAGTTAACATTGCAAAACCAATTCATCATTTTAGGCACATTGTGACACCCCATGTATTGGGTTCTTTTAAATTCTTACTTTGGAATAAAGTTGTAAGAACATCTAACTGAATCAATCTATTTAAATGTAATGATTTGATTCTAAAATATATATTTGAATCCGAAACAACCACAATAGGAATTATCCAATAAGCCCATCCATTCTAAACCAGAGTGAACTAACTCAAAACAAAATTGGCGCAAAAGTTTTCAAGATCCAAGTAGACAGTAGTATATTTGACGCCAGGAAACCATGACAAGGGTATCTCTAGAACATGATTACCAATTCATACTTTCAATCGAAGACATTCATCTTTTAGTAAGTAGTGGCACCAGAAAAAGTAGAGAGATAAATATGCCATTCGAATCTTTTCTATTCAAACAACAAATTGTATAATTCCAATGCAAGACCAACACAAACCACAGAAAAGATCACCAGACAATAATTTATCATCTAATTCTGAACAAATACAACTATTTTTCAATGCAGATAAGTATCAGGAGCACATCACCTTTTCCAATTGTTCCTGCAATTGCCCATTTTTATATGCCTCTGTAGGTAAAAAAAAGGAAAAAAGCTTCATCAAAATGATCGCAAAACCCAATGTTAGAAAGTATTCTTAAAAATGGGTCCAACCAAGAGAGACACAAACGAAGAAACAATCATTGATGCTATAAATGACAACTTTTCGGTCAAGGAAGAACCATAAGCCACAAGGTTGAAGCCAGTGCCATATTGAACTAACAAAAACAGATTGATGCTTAAAAACACATTTTCTCACAATTTCAAAATATTACAGTTTAAACTCTTTGAAGCACACATGGATGATACTTCTGCAACATAAACAAACCCAATTTCAAAAAGATCACTTGTACTCTCTTCACATAGAGTAATCTATACCTAAAAGACAGACAAAGCAAACCTGTCTTCAGGTACAAAACGATATCATTCTACCACGATGGAAGCATACTTCTTGAAGAGCATAGAGTTTCATAATAAAAAAGTACAATAGTAAATGTGTCTCCCTATTTGTTGAGGACTGCTATTGTGAATATATATATCTGACTTAAATTAGGAGAAGGCTGTCCTATTCCCATTAAAAGGGCCAGAAGGGTAGCTTCTCATCCTCATTCTAAATTCCACCCCTACCATAGTTCCCCAGCCCGGTACATGTTTCTCGGTTTTTTTCTTTACTACCTTCACGCTGAAAAGATGTTGCACAAGACCATAATAAACTATAGAGAACTTCAACTAATCATTTCTCCTCATAAGAATATTCATGAGCACAAGCAAGTTTTAACGCACATGTTAACTCATGCATATTTGCCATAAAGACAGAACTAGAGCAAGAAAACACAAAGATGGTACTATAAACACGAGGCACATAATAGAACAAAGAAAGATTAACTTATAGAAATAAACCCCAAAAATTTACATTAGAAGTGGAAAGGAGGGGAGTCAATAGATCAAGTCTTGTGCTATCGGTATTTCCATAGTGGTTCTGAGTTTTAGTTCATTGTAACAGGAGATTTTCAGTTGCCTAAAACAAGAATATTTTGCGTATCAAAGTGAGTTTTTGTTCTACTAAAACTTAGCAAAGTGAAATCAACAGAAAGCTTACCGACTGTGATGTCGCAACCACCGAAAAACTCTCCTTCAATGTAAAGTTGAGGGAAGGTAGGCCAGCTGGAATACTCCTTCAAAGCCTGACGTAGAAGTTCATTCTCGAGAATGTTTATCGTTTCAAAAGGAACATTCAAAGAGTTCAAAATTTGCACCACGGTATTGGAAAACCCACACTGTGGGAAGTCCCTTGTTCCTTTCATGAAAAGGACAACCTTGTTCGATGTCACCACTGTATCCAATGTATTCTTTAGTTGAGGAGTTAAAGCTGCACATAAGCATACACAAATAGAACTAATCACAAGTTTATCAAAAAAGGGAAAGAAAAAACACGCACAAAAGAAGCATAGTGATATATGAATTCAATGGATATCCACAACAAATTAGATTTCGTATGAAGGGTTTGCTTTCCGATTTTAAAGGGGAATTGGGAAACATGACGGAATAAAGGAGAAGTACCAGAAGCGAAGCAGCGAAAGGGGGAAATCCTTATCCTAGCAGGAGATCTGAAGGCGTTGCCAGGTAACGAGAAGCGGTTCGTTGAATGAAGGGGAGAGGTGAAGGTGCGGTGCGATTGGTGGAGGGTCTTGTAGCAGGAAAACTTTGGAAGCACCGCATCTGGTGCTGGATGCGATTGCGAAGAACAAGGGGAGGACACCGTGATCACCCACCGCAGAGCCATCTCATCCACTCAACACGCGTTTGTTTTCCCTTCCTTTTTGTCTTCTGGCAACATACATCAGAGAAAAACTGTTTACAGATTTTATTTTGTAAATCGTAAAATAATTAGGCCCAGTAACCCAAAACAGATGTTACCTGAAAGCGCAAAAGACAATCAACCCAGTCCAAGCCCAGCAATACATGGAACCTTAACTCAGAGCAAAACCAGAGAGGAATCAATTTATTAAAAGGTAAAATACACGGCATCATTTAACTATATCATTATAAATAAGTTACTATAGCTTGGGACGAGGGGTTTCAGTGTATAACTTTGTAGGTCGACAGTGCAGATGCGTTTGAACCAGTAACGTCGACTTCCCCGCTAGCCCAATCCCGAGGTATTTTCAATCCGTTGGATAGGTCATGAATTGTAACCTCTAAATTTATCTGGCGTGAAACGAATAAGGTTGTAGATTTTCTTACAAAGCCCGATGATGGCGTCAATGGCGAACTAAAAATCATTGATATCATTTTTGTAAACGTTCACAATTTCTTAGATCGAGATGTGTCTAACTCTCCTTATATTCATTGTAGTATTGTCTAATATAGTTTGAAAGGATAAACTACACAATGTTTGAATAAGTTTTTGTTTTTTTAACTGAAGTTTTGAAAGTGATAAAATTAGTCACTAACGTTATCGATTTGTAACAAAATGATCATTCCACCATCATCTTTATTAAATTGATGACGATTCAACATTAACAAAAATGTTAATATTTACTTTTACTCTAACCAATACTAAAACATCAAATAAACCCTTAAACAATGATTTTATGTTTAATTTACTAAAAAAATTGTTAATTTTCACTTTTTCCAAACACCCCTCCCTCCCAAAACTCAAAAGCCTTGGAAAAGCTTATCACATGGGAGTGGCAGTGACATCAAGTTAAGAATGATGTTGATTGCTACCAAGTTCTTTGATTTTCTGTTTATTTTTGCTGCTTTCAGGGGTTGCAAGAACAGAACACAAGCTCCCATTTTCCTAAGGCATTTCTCATAATCTAGGTAATAATGTCTAGGGTCAGAAGATGCATCAGACACCATGGATAAGTCCTGCTCCTCATCGTCCACCATGAAGTTCTCATTAAACTTTTGATACCTTGTTTGAGAATAAGAGGATTGATCTAAGTAGAGAGTCCATCCAGATTCACTACCACTACCACATTGTGAAGCTGATACATTCATTTCTCTCTCTCTCTCTCTCTCTCTCTCTCTCTCTCTTCTCAAACCAATCTACAACCCCTCGTATGTTAAAAAGAAAAATAAATGAATTTGCTACTGGAAGAATGAAAAAGGCTCCTCTCTCTTTTCTCTACCTACATGCAAACTCTTGAAGATGTTGTTTATAAACAGAAAAGGGAAAGAGGGTATAGCGAGATAAGACCAAATGAATCACACTAAAATCCTAGACTACTTTTTGTCCTTTCTGCGATCCTTTCCCCCTCTTATTTTTTCTAAGTTGAATCAATCAAGTTTTCCAATTGGCTTAGTGAAAGAGAGAGAGAGGGGAAATGAAAGCAATTGGTAACAATGGTGATAAGGAAAGCAGATAGAAATTCATGCATAAATGTAGTAATATAGCAGCCTGTACAACAATGGAGCTGTCCATTCGATAAGAACCTAGAAGGGAACTTAACGTGGCTGAGAGTCATTGCTGTCGTTTTTTTTTTTTTGAGGAAACCAGCCAGTGCCATTGTTGTTGGAGATGTGTGAAGGCTGGTGGGTGTTTGGAAAAAGTTGGAAATTAGAAAGTTTTTGGGAGTAAATTATATATAAAATTATTATTTAAGGACCTTCAACGAAACTAATCTGATCATTTTATCACAAATCGATAATATTAATGATTAATTTATTATTTTAAAACTTTAGTAAAAAAATGAAAATGTATTCAAATATTAGTGATGATTTATACTATTGAAAAAAATACTAATGTAATGTTAACCGAACAAATCAATAGATGCTACGATTTACCCATCACACCAAAGCATGTCTCACGTTAAAATTTTAGTTTGTTAATTTTTCCTCTTTAATTATCTTTCACTTAAAGTTACAATAAAAATTATTACTATTAATCTTTCCAAGAGTTTAACTTTATCGGTATAAAATTTTATTATATAAATATCTATATATTTAGTTTATTTAAATTTAAATATCTCCCTTTCTGAATTTGAACCATTACATTTAGGGACGGGCATGAGTCAGGTTGGGTTAGATTTTTGGTCCAATCGACCCAATCCGACTCTACCGACTCGCATAATATATACTCTCCACCCGACCCAAACTCGACCTGAATTTTTGAAATAAAATCTGAACCCGACCCAAAATAATAATAAAATATTATTTTTATTCAGTAAAAATAGTGATTTAATTAAGAAAATAATATATAGAGGTGTATTATTGTAATTATTCCTACATCTATAAGGTAAAATTATATTTTTTTCTTAGTAATGTCGAGTATTTTTATCATAATCCCGAATCCGACTCGATCCGAATATCACTTTTAAAAAAATCCGACCAACCCGACCCGTACCCAATTAAAAAAACCCGACAACCCGTCAGGTTTGACTCCTGCCCATCTTTATTTACATTGGATCCGTGAAGTGGACAAAGTAGCCCCCAGTCCATGAGAAATTACAAGAAAACCTTGATGAGCACGAGATGCACAGAACAATACATGACTGTTCACGAGCATCAATTTCGAGTTCGATAAATAAATATAATATACTCCCTTTTTAGTTTTCATAGTAATCATTTGTTTTATTTTAAAACTTAATTTTAATTATTAGTTTTGCTAAATTTTCTGAAGTAAAAAGTTTAATACAATATTTAAAAAATAATAATTTATATGTTTATGCTTTTAACGAGGTAGATGACAAAGATATTATAGGAGATACTTATTCTACATAAATAATTGATTATCACATACTATAATTATAATTAAAATAAATGTATTAAATAATTGATTATCACATACTATAATTATAATAATTCTAGATATGAATAGCTGCTGGCATCATCCGCAACGAAAATACGTGTGGATATCGAACATAAAACTGACAAAAGAATGGAAATAATCTAAAGCTTAATCTCCAAGTGGGTAGCTTAGTTGCCTGCTTATAAATAGCGATTTGCAAATATCAAAATCACTTGGGACAGAGGAGAGAAATATGGGGAAAATGGTAGTAAGCGAATCGTTGTTTTATGTCGTTGCGGCGGCGGCGCTAGTGTTGGGCAATGGGTTAGCAGTGAGCGGCGCGAGTGAGAATAGTAAGGTGAAGGTATGGCCAATGCCGGCGTCGGTGAGTTACGGCAACGCCCACCTTTACTTGGCCGGCGATTTCGGGCTCTCCTCGAACCACGACTCTCAAATACTCAAAGACGCATTCGACAGGATGCTTGCTGTCATCAAACTGGATCACGTTATCGATGCCAATTTCTCTGCTTTCGATCGTTCATCTCTTCTCCAAGGTCTGCATATCGTTGTTTCATCTCCAAACGAAGAGGTTCCTCTTTTACTCTCTCAATTTGCGTGTGTGTGTTTTTTCCCCAGAAAATGACAGAAAAAAATAAAGCTTTGAGAATGTCATATGTTCAAAAACAAAAACAAAAATCAAAGTCGTTTGGTTTAATTGGGAATGTGGAGTGTCGAAAACAAATTTTTAAACTTCATTCTAAAAATTCGGATAGAGAAGTTAAATGTTCTGAAAACGTCGTGGGAGTCATCGATTTGAATGTGGAAATTCATTTGAGATTTTGATTGCAGCTACAATACGGCACCGATGAATCCTACAAATTAATGGTTCCATCGCCGGAAAAACCGGGTTATGCCCATCTTGAGGTACACCGAGCAAATCCTATTTCTAGATAAGTTATTCATTAATTTTTCTTCTTGTCTTGAAATTTCAAAACTTTTATGGTAGGACGTGTGCTTTAATTCGAGTTTAGATTCTTAATTTATAACTCAAATTTTATTTGAAATGTTTTCAAGTCGAGTTTATGAAATTTGAGTAGAGTCGATTTGAGTTATTCGAGTTTTTATTTAAATATAATTGTAAATATTTATCATGTTATGGTACTATTTGATTCAAATTTAAACGATTTTCTATATGCATGATATGCCTATATTATGCATGAGGGACTCGACTCAAACTTGAAAATCGATCCACTAATTACTAAAATTTTCGAGTTATTCGACTTTTATTTTATAACTCAACTAGAATTTGAAATTGTTTCGAGTCTAGGTTATGCAATTACGAGTCAAGTTAAATTGAGTCGAGCTTTTTAGCATAGAGTGAGTCAAAAAATTCTATTTTTTTGAATCGACTAAAAAAATTCGATTTTTTTAGTCGAATCGTATTTTACTTACCCCTACTTCTTAGTTTGATCAAAGTACATTAAAATTATTCTTTTATTTAAATTTGAATTTTAATTAAGAAAGGTAAAGTTTTGACCATATATTTATTCATATATACCTCTCTATCTATAGTGAACTTTGACTTATGTTTTGGCAAATAAAAAGAACTGAAATAAGCGTCAACCAAACAAGGCCAAGCCATTCCAACAAAGTTGTTTCCTTCAAAACCTTTCATTATGTAAGTTGGGTGACCAATAATCTGAAAGTTTAAGCTGTCAAGAAATGCCTGCTTTTATATTTTATTTTATTTTACTTCCATGTTCCAAGTAATGTAGTTGTTGAGTTTTAGTTTGATCTTCTAAGGACTTTCATTGCTACCTCAAACAAATTTGACTTTTGTGCGATTGCTAATTCATCATTCCATATAACATTACCTAACCTTAACTTTTTTTTTTGAAAAGGTAAATTCATTAAATTCCAATAGCATCCATTAGCACAACAGGCTCAATACATTCGAACCTAACCTAAACTTATATACCAGCTTCAGGGTCTGTTTTTGGAAGATATATGCCTTCGAGTTACTTTTCTTTATTTTTTTCTTTCAAGAGTGGCAAATTGAAAAGAAAAAAAGGAATACTGATGGGTGTTATCTGTTGGAGTTGGAGCAAAATTTCCTCACATTATATTATACTAGTTTATTCCGGCTTTTAACTGCTAATCTTATAACCAATTTATGCAGGCTAAGACAGTTTATGGTGCTTTACATGGGCTTCAGGTCAGTACCAGTATAATTCTAATTTCCAAGTTGTCATTATACTATATTGTAAATTACAAAATTCTTAGAATTTGTACCTTGTTGTACAATTGTGCAGACATTCAGCCAATTATGTTATTTTAGCATTACAAGGAGGGTCCTTGAAGTTCACATGTCACCATGGACTATTATTGATCAGCCAAGGTTTTCTTATCGAGGCCTCTTAATTGGTGAGGCACTTAGCTTCTAAGACATGTAATGATGTTGGTTTCCTGTGAAAATACAATGTTTAGAGATCTATCTTTGACTTGCGTTGAAAATTAGGGACTTCATGTTGCTATTGCTTTAGCTGTTATGTATTATCAAAATGTATTGTTTTATTGCCTGTTTATGCATTCTACATTCTCAGCAACCAAAATGAAAGGGGGAAGAAAATAAAATGATGATAGAATAATATTTTTATCTCTGTTTCTGCCTTCTGTTTCAAAATAATGATAAAGACTTTTTGATATCATTGGTGCAGATACGTCTCGTCACTATTTACCGATGACAGTTATAAAGAAGGTCATTGATTCTATGTCCTATGCAAAGCTGGTAAGGAGTGCATTAATAACAATTTTCAGCTGAAGTATTCTTTTCTCCTCATTGTTCTGACCTAGTGGATTGATATGTTTAATGCAACTTAGCCCATAAGCCGTAACTCTTTCTTGCTTTCACACAGAATGTATTGCATTGGCACATTGTAGATACACAATCTTTCCCTTTCGAGATACCTTCATACCCTAAACTGTGGGATGGTGCTTATTCACCCTCAGAGCGATATTCAGCGGCCGATGCAGCTGAAGTTGTGAGGCATGTTGTTCTCCTTTTTCTCTATCACATGTATTCAATGATAATTACTATTTTGAGTACTCCAACTCTTTTTGATCTGTTTACTTTTAATCTATGCAGTTATGCCCAAAAAAGAGGAATAAGTGTATTGGCCGAAATTGATGTTCCGGGACATGCTCTTTCATGGTACAATATGCTTTCTCCATTCCTATAGTAAATTTTTATTGTTATTAGTAACATGCTTTCTTTTGCAAATAGGCAATATTTTATAGTAGATGAAGATGCTAAATTTTTTTTGCCTGCCATTAACGTTATCTGGAAATTGCAGCTACTGCTCTTTAAATTGATGATGGAAGTATCATATTGTTTTTATATGTTTAGCGACTGAATGTTGTAAAACGTAAAATTAAGCTTTATGATAATTAGTCACCTCTAGGCTTGTACTTTTAACAATGATTATCTCAACATAGGTCTATTGGGTGGAGAAGGTTTTAAAAACTTCAGAGGACAAATTGACGAAATTCTGGGTAACAGCTGAACTGCATGGTTTTGTCTTTTCTAGAAGTAAAAGGAATAGAAGGTTGTGGTGTAGCCTTAACATTGAAGGAAATTCTAAAACCAGGACATGCCACACAAATTGTGTGCAATAATTGACTATCTATGTGGTTATAAGGACCTAAATTATCATAAATAGGTCTTCCATGCTTAACATATACTAGAATTCCCATTATAGAATACACGCAACAAGCACAGATAATACTGCAAACTTGAAGTCAGGAATCAGGATGTGCGTAAAAAAATTTAAATGCAATTTATTGGCCTTGTCCTAAAATGTTTCTGAGTAGTCGTGTTCTAATTCTTTAAGAGAAATGGTTATCCTTCTCTATGGCCATTAAAGGACTGTTTGCCAGCAGAAAGACCCAAATTATCATAAATAACCAGTCTTGCATATTTAATATATACAATAATACCTGTGATCAAATGCACTCAACTGCAGATAGATATTGCAGAATTGAACTCAAGATGGATGCATGCCAAAAATTATGTACTTTTGACCTTGTCCTAAATTTTTTGACTAAACAAGCTATGAATTCTTTAGGGGGGTTGGATATCCTTCTTTATGGCCATCTAAGAACTGTCAACAGCCTCTTGATGTCAGCAATGAATTCACATTTAAAGTAATAGATGGAATTCTTTCAGGTGAGCTCCTTACTTCCACCTTGATGCCATTATCTCTATCAAGAAATGGCTGCAATTTTTTCTTTCCTTTATTTACAAAATGTAAATGGAATTCTCGTTTCAGATTTCAGCAAGATTTTTAACTTCAAATTTGTTCACTTGGGAGGTGATGAAGTTAATACTAGTAAGTTAAAACCGCACCATCTTATAATTCCTACTTGTATATTACTATAGATATATCATGCAGTAAAAATATTAGAAAGAGAATATTTTCTTGTATTTTATTCATCAACATTATGGGTATATAGACATATATAAAGGTCATATAATAAGTAAAGTAATATCCTACATTAACTATGTAATATCATACATTAAATACAATATATATCAACCCTAATTAATTAGGCTATAAATCTGTAACACTCTCCCTCAAGTTGGAGCGTAGATATTAATAATACCCATCTTGTTACATAGATAATCAAGCCAGACCGTGTTAATAGGCTTTGTGCAAATATCTCCTAGTTGTTCTCCAGTTTTCACAGTCAGTAGAAATCAAACCTTGTTAGATCTTTTTGTGAATGAAATGACAATCAACCTCAATGTGTTTCGTTCGTTCATGAAAGACTGAATTAGAAGCAATGTGAGGCGCAACTTGATTATAACACCATAGCTTTGCAGTTACTGAAACCTTAATTCCCATTTCATTGAGGGGCTGATATACCCATACGATTTCACACACAAACTTGGCCATAGCTCTATATTCACCTTCTGCACTGGATTGTGAGATCACATTATGTTTCTTTCTCTTCCATGAAATCAAATTTCCTCCAACAAACACACAATATCCGAAGTACCTTACATTTCCTTGAATGGTCATCACTTGTTCTGTTGTATGCTCCAAACTCTCGTCTTTTAGGCATTTCTTGAAGTTGTTTCTTTATCTAAAAGGTAAAATAGTTTCCAAGGCTTCTTGTCTTTATTGAAGATCTCTGATTCATCGTATCAATATCAAACTAATTGTCTCTATAACATAGTTTATGAAAGAGGGCAAGAGTCTCATATCATGTAGACCTATTCAGTATTTTCTAAACATTATTCTTTAGGAAATTTTATGTATAGTTTGAAGTTTAAATTTATATCTTATCAATCTGAGTTATTATTTGACTCAACCTCTTGATTTTCTAATTCAGCTTGTTGGACCACAACTCCTCGTATAAGCAAATGGTAAGAAGTCTTTGTGTTTTGATTTGCCACACCATTGAATGAAAATGAATGTTTATTCGATGTATTGGCTTATTCCTTGTTACAAAATTTATGGAAATGTTACTATCATTCTTTTTCAAATACCTTTCCTGCTTATTGTTATTGTGAGTAACATCCATGTCCTATTCTTAGGGAAGAGGAAGCATTAGCTTGTCACCTAGGAAAGTTTACGATGCCATTGACTGGTTGAAAGAGAAGCTTCCATGTTCCCTTGCTTTTTAGTGGCTTTTGATGTAACATGATCTTAGTTGCCTTCAGCTACTTAGAACAGATTTAGTTTTCTGCTCTTATAAAATTATCTATTTCATCAATTTCCTTTGCCATTCCTTTGATGCTCTCAGCAGTCAGCATCACTTAATACTGCCACTACTGAAAATTAGTTATTGTTCTGTTATTTCATGTAAATAGTACATGAAAGTCATGCTTCTATACTTATTTAGTTCCTTCTGATCAACATGGCATGATATTATTGTGTTCCTGAAATCTATTATATCTACCATACCACACCTCTTACCTTCTGCCTGGTTTGCAGGTTAAAAAGGCATCGTATGAATGAATCTCAAGCGTATGAGTACTTTGTCTTGAGAGCACAAAATATAGCTTTATCCCATGGATATGAAATTGTTAACTGGTATCATCCTATACAAGAGCTATTTAGTCAAACAACAATATTATACAACCTATTCACATATAGTATCACAGGGAGGAGACTTTCAATGACTTTGGCAGTAAACTGAGCCGGAAGACTGTCGTTCACAATTGGTACCTTCTACTCTCTGTCACTCAAAACCTAGAAAATTTATGCATTATAATATTCTTTAGGCATGACGTTGTTTCCTTTTGCAAAGCGAGCTTTTAGAAAATTCAAAGCAAATGCTGCATCTTTTTTTTCTCCTCTGTTACGGGGAAGTAACCTATAATTCCACACTTGAATATTAAAGTAGGCTAAGGGCTGAGAAGGTTTTAGAAGACAAAATAAACTCCTAGCATTAAAATATATTCTAATGGAATTTATCACTTCATAATTAAAATTTAGAATAACATGGTTTCTTACTGCTAAAAGACATGAAAAAGTTGAATTGAACTGTCTACCTTTCTAGTCATTAAAGTTATATTGTTTAATATTTCTTTGGCAGGCTTGGAGTTGGTGTCGCTCAACGAGTAGTTGAATCTGGATTAAGATGTATTGTAAGCAACCAGGACAGATGGTACTTGGACCACTTGGACACTCCATGGCAGGAATTCTACATAAATGAGCCACTCACAAATATTACAAACTCAAAGCAACAGAAACTAGTGATTGGAGGGGAGGTATGCATGTGGGGTGAAACTGCTGATGGTTCTGATATTGAACAAACCATCTGGCCACGTGCAGCTGCAGCTGCAGGTACTTAATATAATTATATTAACATTAGATTACATGCAAATCATGGTGTTCTTGTTAAATACAACATACTAATACCCAAAAGTACTGAAGTTGGAATTATTAGGTCAGAATCTAGAGCTCCCATGATGAAAGTAAAATCATGGAACACATTCAACCTACTATTTTTGTTTGTCCATAAACAGGTTGTGAAGTTTACTAGATTAGAGAAATAAATGGGTAATAATACTATCTAAAAACTGTGTTTCAACCTCATTGGTGGCAATATTCTGTTGATATCGAGTTTTCATCCCATTAATCACATTTTTCTTTCTCCTTCGCGCTGTTTCAATCTGAATTGCAGAGCGATTATGGACACCCTTTGACAAGCTGGCTAAGAATCCAAGAGAAGCAACTGGAAGGTTGGCAACCTTTAGGTGTTTACTGAATCAAAGAGGAATTGCTGCTGCTCCGTTAGCCGGAAGCGGCCGCGCCGCCCCCTTAGATCCAGGTTCTTGCTATACGCAATAATTTGTTAAATCACTTCTAGTGATGATTACCAGGTCATTTGAACCATTTTTATGCCTCTTACATGATAGATGCTTCTAGTAAAAGGCTAGATAATTTCATCAATAGATCAGTCTGCAAATGTTGTTCTTATATGCCCATTGAATCTTGGGTGGAGTGGAAAAGGATTTAATATATCAAGTTTTCAATTAACACCAATTCACTGGATAACCCCTACTCCATTTCCTTTAAAAGAATGTTTTAGTTGGCCTCCAAAGTTTTATTTGACAAAAAATATATTAAGATTGAATCGTGTTTAATATAATATTTTATAATAATAATAATAATAATAACAATTGAATTAAATTTAATTAATGATTTTAAAATTTTATATTTACATATAAACATACTTCAACATTTATATATATATAAACATTTTAATTTCTAATTTTTAATAAATATATGCTTCAATTATACAGTAGAAGTAAATTTGTATATAAATATAAAATTATGATCAAATTGATGTATTGTGCAAGTAATGAGGATAAAATGTGATATTATCCCAATTAAATTTATTAAAGTATTAAATTTATTGCAACGTCTTTAATTAAAATTAAGATCAGATTGATGTAATTTTTATGTAATGAGGATCAAATGTATTCATTATCTTATTTTTAACTAAATTGGTAGAATTTATAAGTAATGAGGATGCAATGAATTGTTATATAATAAATGTCATGACAATAATTTTATTAATATTACATTGTCCTAGTTAATAAAATTTATAATTTTGTAATAAAAATAGAATTGGCGTTATTATATAATAAAACCCCTAAAATTTCATTTATTGGACTAATACTTCTCAAACAGAATTTTCTTTAGAAAATACCGCCAAACTGTTCACATAGAATGACATCGTATTCTACAAAAAGTGATATTAGATCTCATATTTTATAAAAAGAGAGTTTCATGCATTTATTTGTTATCAATAAAAAGTTAGTTTATCTAAAAAGTTGATAGGTCTCGTGTTCAATAAAACGTGAGGTTTATTAACACGTTTTGTAAGACGTGATGTTATCTTACGTTTACAGTTTAGGGGTATTTTTCTAAAAAAACTATTGGGAAGTGTCAGAACCGCCTTTCGGTTGGGTCCGAAATTGGGATTTGGCTTGGATTAAATGAATTGGAGTCGCCACCGACCATTTTAAAGCGAATTTAGGTGGGTCGGACACCATCTTACCTGATCTGCGGCATACCAGAAACGTGTCGGGTTCGGGAGTCGGTTACGGTCAAGGAAGGACTAGCACCCTTGAACCGCTCTTTCGGTACCAATTAATTTACCGGTTGTCTTTGTTTGCGAAAATAAAATATTTAAATTAAAATTTAAATTACTCGATTCGAATTGCTTACATCTGATTGATTGGATTTCTAAAAAAGAGGAGAAAAATATTAGACGACAAATAATATATAAATGTTAAATGAATTAAAAAGAAAAAAATAAAAAGCATAAAATAAGAAAAATATCATAAATAAAAAAGAAAATGTAACAATACATCAAAGAAGGAAAAAACTAAGATAACGAATCAAAAGAGAAATAGAAAATAAATAGAAAATATATAAATATAAATATATAAAAAATATATTAAACAAATAAAAAATAATAACAGAATAACGAAGAGAAAAAAATAAAAATGAATAAAAATATAAAAAAGTTAACTTTGAAGAATAATAAAATATAAAAAAAAAAAAAAGAAATACTAATAATAAAAATGTAATATGAAAAAATAAAAAAAATAAATAAAGAAGACTAAATTGAAATGAGCGTGAATTCCTAGGTCAATAAAAATAAAAATAAAAATAAGAATTAATGACCAAAATATAAGCATAGCGAAATTAGAAGTCCAAATCGAAAGTACCAAAACTTATCCCAGTGACCAAATCATAAAATTTACAAATCACAAGCACCAGTGGCATAGTTTAACCGGGCGAGAAAATGCGCAGGAAGCCCCTTTACAAAACGATGTAGTTTTGAAATATATATATATATATATATATAACTAAGGCTCAGTTAAGCCTTACCACCTCCATTTATTATAATACCCGAAAATGAAGGGAAAGAGAGAGTTGGAAACTTTCTCAACTCCTTGCCGGAGAAGAAGGTCGGTCCACCGCTCGCCACCGTTCTGGCCTCCCTCCAGCGGTCGAAAAAAAGTTACCTTATCTCAAAATAAACCTCGCTCCACCCCCAACCCGAATTCACCATCCGATTCTAACAACCAATCCCCGAATAACGTAGATCTAAGGGAAAAGTTCTCGGGCTTTTACCTTTTGTAAGGAAAACTCTTCGTTTTCCGACGCCTTTCCTCCGATGACGCTCCTCGTTCGTTCTGGTGAGAAAAGGCTCCGATTTTTTGTCCTTTTTTGGTACTGTTTTGTTGTGTTGGGGTTGTGTTTCGTTTGGGTTTATGTTTGGTTATTTCTCTTGATGTTGTGTTTTAGTGGCTAATGCCTATTTGTGCTTCTCGGTGTTTCACCATGGTTTTAATGATGGCTATGTGCTGTTTTGGGTTCGATGATGTTATGTTGGTCTCTCGATATAGTATTATTGTCTTCTGTTCTCGTTGGCAGTGGTGATGGTTTCTCTCTGTGAGTATTGTTGATGTTCAGTCTCTCCCCGTTGATGGTTGTTCCGTGGTATTTGTATAGCCCCGTTGGGGGGTTGTTACCGGTTATTTCTGGGGTGATCCCGGATATTCTGGGGTCATCTCTTCGTGGCTTGCGTTCTGTGGTTGACCGGCCATCCCGAGATGGGTCAGTCCCGGGATAACCGGTCGGTCGTTTCGACGTTTGATGCATATGATTGGCATTGTGTTCTCATAAGTTCTCTCCATGCGATGCTATGCTTACTGTCTTGTGAACCCTAATTCCCATTTAGACCTCCCACCGGGCCTGCTTGTTGGGCCAGGCTTGCAGGCTCGGTTGGGCATAGACCCGAGCCTTGACATTGGACCTGAAAAGAAAAATAAAATAAAGTTAATAAAATAAAATAAAATAGAAAAGGAAATAAATAATAATAATAATAATAATAATAAAATAAAAATATTTTCAAAAACCTATATAATATATATTCTTAAAAATATTTTAAAAACTATATATTATATTTATTTTCAATTTTTTTTTTAAAACTATATAATATATATTTTTCAAAAATGTTTTAAAAACTTTATAATATATATTTTTCAAAATGTTTTAAAAACTATATAATATATATATTTTTAAAAATGTTTTTAAAACTATATATTATATTTATTTTCAAAATGTTTTAAAAACTATATAATATATAAATGTTTTCAAACATGTTTTCAAAACTATATATTATATATGTTTTTAAAAATGTTTTTAAACTATAATATATATATATATATGTGTGTGTGTGTGTGTATATATATATATATATATAAACACATAAAACAAATGGGACGAAAATGAGTTTCTACAGCTACCCCTCTTTGTCCTTTTTCGTAGAACAAAAAATAGGACAAAGACAAAAAGACTCAAATTTTCGTTCGGGTGAGTTAAAAAATTGACTCTAAAAGAATAACTCCCTGTTGAATTATATTGCGGATGACTCCTCCGTTGTAAAGTCAAGTTCATCTTGATATGAGATTGAAGCCGTAGTTCGAAATTTGAATTAGAATGCGACTTCTCGTTGCCCATCGGTCTTCTTCTCGGTTTAAAGACCTTGGTTGGAAAATTCGACTGAAAAATAATTCTTTGATTCCACCATGTGGTTGATAGACATTTGAGCTGAATGAAATCGAATCTAGAAAAGTCTTCATTGACAGATAGCTCTTCTCAACTTAAGTTATGCTGTCGGAAATTGGTTTTTTTGTCACCAAGGCACGGCTAACCCAAGTCTTCTTCTCGACTTGAAAAACCTCGATTACAGCCGGATGGTAGTGTGTTTGAGGTGCCATCGAGCTGGATGGAATCAAACTCGACAATTTATTGACAGATAGCCCTTCTTGCCTTGAGCTATGCTATAAATGATATGCCCTGGAGCTGAGCGTAGTCGAACTCAAAGGTCTTTTATTGGCAGATAACTCTTCTAGCCTTGCGTTATGCTGCAAATGATGTGCCTTGGAGCTGAGCGTAGTTGAACTCGAAGGTCTTTGGTTGGCAGATAACCCTTCTCGACTTAAGTTATACTGTAAATGATATGCCTTGGAGCTGAGCGTAGTCGAACTCGAAGGTCTTTTGGTGACAGATAACCCTTTTAGCCTTGAGTTATGCTGTAAATGATATGCCCTCGAAGCTGAGTGTAATCGAACTCGAGGGTCTTTGGCAGATAGCCCTTCTCGACTTAAGCTATGCTGTAAATGATGTGCCCTCGAAGCTAAGTATAATCAAACTCGAGGGTCTTTGGAAGATAGCCCTTCTCGACTTAAGCTATGCTGCAAATGATGTGCCTTACAGCTGAGCGTAGTCAAACTCAAAGGTCTTTGGTTACAGATAACCCTTTTAGCCTTGAGTTATACTGTAAATGATGTTCCCTCGAAGCTGAGTGTAATCGAACTCGAGGGTCTTCGGCAGATAGCCCTTCTCGACTTAAGCTATGCTGCAAATAATGTGCCTTGGAGCTAAGCGTAGTCGATCTCGAAGGTCTTTGTTGGCAGATAACCCTTCTAGCCTTGAGTTACGCTGCAAATGTTGTCTTTAAAAAAATGCCTTCCCTTCACAGGTCTAAGTCGGTCATAGTTCTTCAGGTGGTTCCTTTGAGCGAGTCTGAACCAAATGAGACGATCTTTGAATGACTCCCCTTTTACGGAAAGCCCACTAATAAATTCTGACAGCCGGATATCTTCCGTTGTGGAATTGAAATCTGGCTTGAAGACATTAACTGGAAACATGCTGCTCATTGTTGAGTTGAGCTGAACTGGATTTGATCTACATTGGTTCTCGAACCTATCTGAAATTGGTTCTGAGATCTGTAGATATGTCAAGTCGGTTAAGGTGTAGCTTCTCACTGCTGAGTTAAGCAACCACCATTGTTCTTTAAAGGCACTTGCGAATCGGGTATCCTTCATCCTGAAGTCGAAACTTGACTCTAAAAGCTGCAAA